GTCATGACCAGTTTTTCGAAGCATTTAGCGACTATCGGGGTGAGGGCCACTGGCCGATAGTCATTCAGACCAGTCACTGTAGAGCTTTTTGGGACTGGGATGATGGTGGCAGTCTTCAGGCAGGTGGGAACTGTCTCCAGGGTAAGTGAGGTGTTAAAGATGTCTGCCAGCACCTCACAGAGCTGATCAGCACATTCCTTCAACACTTTTCCAGGGATGTTGTCTGGGCCAGTTGCCTTGTGCGGATTAATCCTCCTGAATGTACTCCTTACTTCTGCTGAGGTCACACTGAGATGCTCTTCATCCGGTGGTGAGGTGAGTCTGGTGCTGGGTGGTCTGTTCGGGTCTTCAAAGCATGCATAGAACTTGTTGAGGGCATCAGGCAGAGATGGGTCTTTGGGGCGTTGTTCGCTCCTTCCTTTATAATCTGTTATGCACTTAATGCCCCTCCACATGCTCCGAGGGTCTTGTGAGATAAATTGACCCTTGATCCTCTGTGCATATGTGGCCTTGGCCCTCTTAATACCAGCAACCCGCTCTTTTCTTGTCCTACTCAGCTCCTCTGAGTTTCCAGACCTGAAGGCACTGTTCCTGGCTTCCAGCAGGGTACGCACCTCTGCATTCAGCCAAGGTTTTCTGTTTGGGTAGCTTTTAACATTTCTGATAGTGGAGACGGTTTCAGTACATGTACTAATGTAACCCAGAATTGAGGATGTGTATTGGTCAAGATCAAGCGAACCTCCATTTTCAGCAGCTTCTCTGATATACATAGGTAATTTACATCAGAGCATCCTTGACGCATCCTTACATTTCTATGCTGATGATACAGTTTTTTTATTGTCTAACTAAAACAGTTGCTAAGGTTTTCCAGCTTTTGTAATCTGCTTTTGACATCATCCAGACAGATTTGTTCCATCTCAAACTTGTCCTAAATGCTGATAAAAAAAGGGATGCTGTTTTCAAACAGGAAATCGGTCCCAGCAGTTCTTCCTTTGATATTATCCTCCAACGGTGACCTTATTGAGTTTGTCGATTCCTACAAGCACTGTATTTGGGTATTGTGGTCAATTTGCATCTTTCTTTTAAGCTTCAGGTGGAAAACCTAGTAAGGAAACTGAAAGTTAAACTGGGTTTATTTTTCAGAAATAGATCCTGTCTAACTCTGAATGCTAGGAAACACCATGTATCTGTGACTTTCCTTCCCTCCATTGACTACAGTGATATTATTTACTTGAATGCTCCTACAAGCACCCTGCAGATGTTGAATGCTGCACTAAGATTCATAACTGGCTGTAACTACCGTACCCACCATTGCACCCTGTATTCACTGGTTAACTGGACATGATTAACTTCACACAGACTCTCACTGGTACATTTTCATCTTTAAATCACTTCTTGGTCTGCTGCCTTCATACATCTCCTCCTACATGTCTCTGCGTGAGTGCAGCTACAGTGTCCCCTCAGTGAGGACTGAACTTGGCAAAAGAGCCTTCTCCCACTCCGCTCCTGTTTCCTGGAATGTCTTGCAAAAAGATCTGAAGCTCTCGACCTTGACCTCTCTAAGTGGCTTCAAAACTCTGTTACTGTAAGTTCCTGAAAAAAAACAACGCAGACATGTTCCTGTTTTTAGTTTTCTACATCGTTTTACAATCTCGCTGTTTTTTGTTATTTTTTTCAAAACCATTCAAAACCATTTCACTTGTTATTCTCAATGAGGGCAGCACAGTGGCGCTACTGGTAGAGCTGCTGCCTCTCAGCGAGCAGGTTACCCTGGTTCAAACCCCGGTCCAGGGGCCTTTCTGGGTGGAGTTTGCATGTTCTCTCCGTGCATGCGTGGGTTTTCTCCGGGTACACCGGTTTCCTCCCACAGACCAAAAACATGTATGTTGGGCTGATTGGTAACTCTTTTAATTGTCCCTAGGTGTGAGTGAGAGAGTGAATGGTTGTTTGTCTCGTTTGTCTCTATGTGTCCCTGTCATGGACTGGAGTCCTGTCCAGGGTGTACCCCACCCCTCACACAGTGATTGCTGGACATGGACACTGGCGACCCCCGTGATCCAAAAAGGAAGAAGAGGGTAAAAGATGATGGATGTTATTCTCAATTTGTATGCATCCTTTATTATTGTCTATTGTTGTTTTTGTTATCTGCTGTTGTCATCACTCTTTGTTAAAACCAGGTCTCTCTTGATAATGAGTCACTGAGACACAATGGGATTAACCTGCCTAAATAAAGTTTGAATAAAAAAATTATGTGTGTGTAAAGCAGCCACCCCAATCATTTGATGAAACTATGCGTTCTACTTTTTATATTGCTTAAAACTATACTTTCCTTAAATGACTGGGGTGGCCAAATATTATCTATGATGGCCAAGGCCACCACTGGCCACCCCCTGGCTTTGCCATTGCACCTGTTGGTGGATCAAATTGTTCCCACCACTCACAGGATCCGTCATTCTGTGCCGCGTTGCACAAGATAACAACAAAACTTCTGTTCTTATACACAATGTAACATCTATCCACTGGAATATCTTGCACCAAAAACATTAAGTTTTATTTGCAGTCCAGAAAAACATTAATCTCAAAAACTACAAGCATTCAGTTTTTAAATCCACCAGTAACAGTAACTGCTTACCACTTGTACCCTTTTGTTGGTAAAAAAAAGTTTTTGTTCTTTTTTAGTTTGATGGCAACAACAACAACATCAACAAAAGACTCAACTTATTGACCTTCTTCATTTGTACGTATTTAGAATGCTCAAGATGTGTTTTGACCAAAGCTAAGCAGAGTTTTTTAAATTTTCCATGACTTATT